TCAAAGCTTCCAGCTATGTAGACCTAGAASAATCCAAAGAAGATTTGCTCAAACCAAAACCCACCAGATCCGCAACTCACAGGACTGCTGGTCTGTGTTGCATTTCTAATCCATCACTATCCAGTTTTGATGACGATATACTCCATTTTTGCCCTTTGACTTTGGGGGAAAAAAGATTTTTTTTAATGCAGATTTCTTAAACCTGATGAGCTGAAGCCCAAGAKGAAAGGAAGGACCAGATTTTATTCTTAAAGACCCCATGGGATATCCTCAGAAGAATCTGCATTTGCAAAACGCTAGACAAAGAGAAAACAGCATTCTTCAGGTTCTGGTTCACTGCAGACCGGGGATAAACCTCATGCCCTGGCAGCCTGGAGTTTGGTCTTAAGATAGCAGGAAGCAGTTCTGTTTGAAAGCCTTTCATCCCACTTTCTGATCTGTTACATCTCTAATGTCTATGGGTCTAACCATTCTTAAAAATTTGGTGAGAGACATGCATCTTGGGCCTCTGAATGTTCTGGTTTTTCAGTAATGCAGGTGTGGTGTCCATGTAGAAGATACAGCTAAAGAAAGAAGTTAAGTTGGGGTTCTTGGCACTGGTCACTCTTGCCTGTGTAATGCAGGGCCCCTGGCTCTGCTGGTCTGCCAGACACACTCCTGCCAATGTCACACCTCTTTGGCATCTCTCTGGATGCTAAAGGGAAACTGAAAGGGAGAGAGATCCTGGCCYAGTGCTGCACCATGTATCAATGAGCACAATCTTCAAGAAACCACTTACTACAGTGCTTGCCTCAGTCCCATCTCTCCCTCTTCATAGCCTGGGAGTATTTGACAGGGTTTGTTTACTCACCCCAGGGTTGTGTGTTAGTTACCTGTCAGTAACACATCCAGGGACAAACTCTGGCACTCCAACATTCACAATGTCCTTTGGATGACTGCCTGACTTAATGTTCTAGTCACAGTTAACTCAGCTTTCATCTATCCCTCTCTTCTGCACTGTGTGCCTCAGACCCTGCCTTGCTAAGCATGCTTATGTCTCTAAAAATACAATCCAGGAATTTTTTATTCTTCATACTGTGTGACAAGGAAACTTGTCTCTCAAGCTCAGCAATCTTGTTTGTAGGTGCTGAAGCAATCAATGCACCCAGGCTGCCTGCACCCACCTATGGCCTGTGGCCATATCTGGCAGTGCTCTGATTCACTGTCTTTCATATCCCACATGAAGGAGCGATCCAAATGCTACTATTCCCCTCTTCTTCCCAAAAAGTTTCACTCCAGAAAAACAGAGGGGCCCATTCTTGTCACAGGGTGACAAAGGAATGTGTGTAAAATTATTAATCTTGCTGCTACATGTTTGTGATCTCATCCTGAGATGTTTTTAATTAATTTTTTTCTTTTTATCTTTTGTTACTAAGAGAATAATGATGACCTAGCAAAGCAATAAGAATCTCCTAGGCTTCTAAACTCTAACTTTTCTAAACTATTACAGTCATCTAAACTAACTACATTTTGCAACTTTGTGGGAATATAAATACTCATTCTATTTAGTACATTATACCGGCCAGTCTCTGTTTTTCGTAATCTAAAGTAAACTAGGTGAGTAGCCATCTTTTTTGTGCTTTGTCATTCATTACTTAAAGATATAGGGAGGAAGTTAAATGAGCATGTTTGTTAAATAAGTAGATATTTAACAAGTTGACTCAAATTTTAACAGGTTAGGGGAACAATATTATAAAACCTTAGATAGTTGGCAGTACTCACTGATTTTTTTATGTGACACTCAGGTTAGTCATTGGAGTCATTTTATTTCCTGGATGAATTATACAATTTCTGTAGTAAGACAATTCAACACAAACATCTATAATAAAATGAGTCAATTAAATCTGTAAGTAATTTCTAGTCCAGAGGAAGAAAGCTGCTTTTTTCTTACTTACTGTACCCTAAAAAGTCAAGGCCCCAGAGCAGTAGAACTCAGCAGAAACTCTAAACACACTTGACTTCTGAGATTCTGGGACCCAGATCCTCACAGTTTTGTTGTAATTCACATTAGGAAGTCAGCAAACATTTCCTTATTCCCGTGATTTTCAGGCAATGGAGGAGGCAGGCTGGGAAGCAGGTTTCTAAAGGCCACAGGGAAAAACAAAACAAAACCAAAAAGYCACAACAATTTTAGGGATCTATAAATTATCTGTGAAACTTTGTACAGTCTTCCCCCAGGCTTCCCATGGGGAGAAGAAACTTATTGGTCAAAGTCAGAATAAAGGACCCCAAATTTTAGCTTTTGTAAACTGTGAGTTAAAAACCACTTTTGTCAAATAGAAATCAATAGGAATTGAAGTACGTTAAGGGTTTCCCATGGGGCAGAGAGGCAGCCACTCTCATCAAAAAYGAGTGGCAACCAACACAACAGTGAGCTGATGGTCTTTTCTCCCATTTCCTCATTGGTTTGTCTGCCATTTGTCAACATTTGCTTTGTGGCCATCAGTATGGGGGTTTATAAGCAGAGACTTCACAGAGAACAGAACTGGCTGTATCCTAAGTAAAAAAGCTTCACCTTGCCCAATATCTTTGTTTCAACTCCCCATTCCAGCCCATACCAGACTATCTAGGATGCATTAACCAAGTCTGAGAACTCCCCACTACTGACTATGCAAAGTATTTTCATTGCTGCTAATCTACAAAGGCAAATATTTTTGTGTTTATACTGTGAGAAGCAAAATATCCTTATCTCCCAATAAAAAACATTTGCTCTTTGTTGGATACCAACACTGTTTGACTCCAAAACTGTTTGAAATCCTGGCTTGTTTCTTATCTAACTCAGTGGTGCCCATAATAGAAGGAAATCAGAGAACTCCCTCTGATACTGCTCCACCTCCCTGCTTGAGGACTCAAACCATTGAGGATGTTCTCCTCAAAACATCTTTTTTGATCATGGAAGAGATTATCCCCATTCCACAGACATGAGTGAGATGTGCAAGTACATCAWGAGCCTTCCCAGAGATTACACATGAAGTCTCATGGCAGAACCTAGAAATAAATTCCCGTTTTTTTAAATTCCAGTCCATCCTCCATTTCACCATCTTTCTATCTCAAAGAAGAATGGATCCTTGTCCTCTCTTTTGACTAAGAATCTAATTGCTTGACTACTGCTCCATTCTGTTCTTTGGAAAATATTTTTCCTTCCTGTCTTGGTTTGAGACAAAGTTTTCAGAGAAAAARAAATTGTTACAGAGTAAATGTTTCCTCKGAAGTGAAAAATTCAGATAATTTTTTCAGGTAATTTTTTCCYATCAATATGAAATAGATGTTTGTGCAAAAGTGAAGAGAAAAAAAGTAGTTTGTTAGCAAAACACAGTGCCCACAGGACACAGATAAAAAGTAWCTGTTAGATATTTAAAAGTCCAGGAACGCCCCACTGCCCCCTCCCCCCASAGCCGCTCRGCCACATAGTGCGGAGAAGATGGTGCGGCTCCTGTGCCTGGGAAAAAGAAACRAAAGAATAAAAAGTCCACATGGCGCTTGGACAACAGTGGAAAAACCTGATGGCAGTCCTCTCTCCAGTGTGGATGAAACAGAGGACTTGGTGTGCTTTCTGTCACTGGCTTGGCTTCTTCCGGAGTCCGGGACGAGATGGAGCAGTGCCGCTTGTCCCTACCGGCCGCCGAATTGCTCCAGAAGAAAAATGACAGCAGCCGCAGAGAGGGTGRCAGTCGTCRGAAAACTGTTTGCTCAAGCTAACAAACCCAAGTTAGCTAAACGGCAACAATGTAACTGCCCTGCACGCAGTGAGCAAGGACTCCTGCAGCAGCACTGATGCTGAGCTCCCAAAGCAAAGCTGCACAGCAGCCCCGGCTTTTAAACTGCCCGCACTGCCCCTGCCCCTTCTTCYGGGTCAGATTTAAAGGCACAAGCACCTTTTAGGCATACAAGTTGATGGAATACAGGAATACAGGATTGGCACAACATCAACCCAAGACACTTCCTYTTGTAAATTTTCTGCATACCTTCACAATTTGCAGAGTGCTGCCACACAGCATTAGTTAGCATTCCTGGAAGCAGCTGCAGACACAACTCGCAAGCACAACCAGCTCAGGTTCTGCCTGTACCAAGCATCTGTAGCTATGCAGGAGAACAACTCAAGGCATTAATGGTGAGTGAGGTTCTGAATGCAGCAGCATCTCAGTATCCTCTTGGGTGCCTCAAAGCCTGAGTCAGAAATCCTGCAAAGCCCCCACAGATACTGCTGCTGCCTGGCCCGTGCTCTCTGCTTTGGACCATTTTGCCCATGCTTGTGTGTAAGAAGAGTCTCTTTACAGCCCCATGGCATTAGAGCCAACTTGACATTTTCAGCCTGGATGTTAACGGAGGTTGTTCCCAGCATTTTGTGAATTAGTTCTACTGCCAAGATACTCGCTGAAGGCAAGTTAGATCTGGTTTTTCACCTCTTYTTTAAGGTTATGCTGTATTTATAAAACTACAAAACTAATTTTTCTGAGCCTACCACCTGTGAAGTATTAGTAGCTGTCTCCTTGTGGGACAGTGCTCATCTCTCAATCATCTCTGTAAGGTTTTCAAGCCTTTGCCACCCTCCCATCTAAGTTGTTAATTCTCTCTGACATTTCCCTGCATTTTTCTTTCAGAGTAGAAAGAGACCATTGAAGAATATCGTGCTGAGTCTCAAGCGGTTCCCAAATTGATTCCTCAAGGCTCAGGCTGGTGAGAGGGCAGCACGACTCAGAGRCAGACCCCAGCAGAATTTGTGGAGGAACCTTTGAGCCAGCTGCATGCTGCTTGAAAAGMCTTTCTCCTTCAGACACATTCATGCCTCAAATCACTCACTACCAAATATAGAATGTATTCTTTGAAAGATTCTGCTTCCCCCACATGAGATATCTAAAACTGTTGGAAAAAGCAAAACTGAAAAATGCAATGATACCCCTTCCYGTATATGAGATGTAATTACATCAAAATGTCACCACAGGCTGACCTGGTGGCCATTCACTCACCCAGTGTGCAGATGAGATACGCTCAGGCTCCCTGGAGTGCCGAAGCATTCCCTTTCTGCTGCCTGTGTGCAGGCACACCTCGTTCCAGCAGTCTGTCTGCATCCCGGAATCGGTATTCAGCAGGACTCTGGTTAATAGGAGGAAGATATAAGAACCAAAACAAAGACGTACCATTCTCTTGTCCAGAGGTACTGGCTACAATCTCYGCTCCTGCTGCCATCTTACCAAGCCATTACAAAAATGGTCAGACACACCGTTTGGTCTCTGTCCCATAAGAAAATTGCCAGCTCCTGTTCCACCAGGGCTTCAGCCCCAGGCACCCAGTGCTCCCTCGGCCTGTGGCTGTTCTGCCCTGTTGCTCCATGGCTGTTCCTGCAATGCCAGCCCTGTGGAGCTGTGGGGCAAGGCAGCAGCAACACATGCCTTAAGCACACACACTCACAGAGAAGCCCAGAAAGAGCCCAGGGCAACACATGTGTTTGCATTTGAAGTGAAGTAATGATATTTAAAAACAAAACCAATTTGCATGGTTTACATAACATATCCTTTAATCAGGAAATTGAGTTCCCAGGAAAAGGTAAAGGATGAGTAGGAGAAGGATAAAGTCCCTCCTGCTACTTTTTAACCCCCTTCTTGCTGAATATGCTTCCTTTTTCCAACCCAGGAAGAAACTCACGTTCTAGGAGCAGTTCTTGCCTTAAAAAATGTTCTAGACTCCTTCACACAAACAAGAAGAAAATGTTTCTGATTCAGTGCTTACACTGAGTAGTTGTTTTAGTCCCAAAAACTGTGCCCAGTAGGATCAGGGCAGTGATTGTCTCCCTCTACTTGGCACTAGAGGGGCCACATCTCAAAATTCTGTGTTCAGCCTTGGGCCCCTCACCATGAGAAAGACAAATAGGTGCTGGAACATGTCCAGAAATAGGCAATGAAGATGCTGAAGGGTCTAGAAAATAGGTCCTTATAGGAGCAGCTGAGGGAAATGGGTGTGCTTGGCCTTGGAAAAAGGAAGGCTCAAGGGGGCCTCATTGCTCTGCACTACCTGAAAGAAAGCTGTAGCCAGGTGGGATTCAGCCTCTTCTCCCAAGTAACAAGCAATAGAACAAGAGGAAACAGCCTCTAAACCAAGGGAGGTTTAGATTGGATATTAGGAAAAATCTCTTAACTGAAAGGATTACCAAGCATAGAAATAGGCTGCCCAGAGAAGTGGTGGAGGTGCCGTGCCTGGAGGGATTTAAGAACAATGTAGATGTGAGGCTTAGGGACATGGTTTAGTGGTGGGTTAAAGGCTGGAGCTGATGATCTTAAAGAACTTTTTCMACCCAAATAATTCTGATTCTAAAAAAGGAGGAATAACTCCCTTCTTTTGYTTCTTTTTCACTTTTATCCAATCTCTAATCTACTTTCCCCGTGGCTGATCTTATCTCTGTGTTTTTCTCAAGTATCTTGTGAGAATACTCACTCCATCCATCATCTGTGCAGCTGACACACATTTGCTTCCATGCTGAAGTCCCAAATGAGCTGTTATGTAGCACAAAACAACCCGAAGTTGCAGTCACCTACCTCATGTGCCATCACTTCTTAGACCTCTCTCTCTTCAGGTGTGTCCTTGATAGGTGTTTTGAGCYGATCCAGGCTTCGCTGTGGGGCCCCGAGCCCCTCAAAGCTGGTGGCCCCAGCTGAGCTCATTTGCTCCTTCCCAGTAGTGCTGCCCAGGATACCATTACGGCACAACATTCACCAGGAAACAACAGCCTTGAGCAGATTCCCTCTGCTGCTGCAACACAAAGTGTGAAAAGCAAAATCACAAATAGCACTGTAATAGGGTATTCTGGATTTTGATACACATTTTCTTAAACATTCAGAGGGCTCAGCTCATCTCAACAGCTTTCAGTCAGCCCTTGCCTTGGTGTTTCTTTACCTTGTGGATAAAGACCAACCCCATACAAGCCAGTATTAGGCCCAAACCAAAGGCTGCACAAGCAAGTGGGCCCTTCCTCTTTTTGTGTAGTGTTTAACCATGGCATGAATTGAGCCATAAGGAAATGGCAGCCATTTACTGGAATTAGAACACTTAGAAAGAGATTGGGACAGTCACAATAAGAAGATGTAGCTTGTTCACTAGAAAAGCCCTTGCTTTGGGTGGTGTGCATCTGATGCAAAATAACACTGAAATGCTGCAGCACAGGGTGGTCAGGCTGCTTGGCTGAATGAAGAGAAAAATGGACAGGAGGAGAGAAAACAAACTGCCCCCACTCCTCAGGTCAGAGCACAAACAATCTGCCCGCTCTGTTGCTCCACCTGAGCACCTGAACATGGTCACACTTGACCTTCTGGGACATGACTACAAATACATCCCTTCGATGCTGGCCTGCTGATCATTCCTCTAGCAACATTTTGCACAATAATTTTGTGATCCTTTTATTATAAGGCTGATAGAAACAGTCTAAATCAGAAGACCTAGTGTTCTTCCACACTGACTTTGCATTCCTAGARGGTAGACCTAGTTAAGGCAAGTCTTACCCCCCCTGCAGGAACTGGAAGAAAACCCCACATACTCCTAGTTTATACCTTTGATCCATCAGCTTTACACATGGAGCACAGTGTGACTACCATGGAATTTTGCTGTGGGCTATTTTCCCCTCGTGCTGCCAGTGAGACCTCAGGAGGTATCGTGTGCATCTGTTCCAGATGCAGGACAACAGCTGGGGTTCAAGAAAATCAGAGGCAGAAGGGGCATCAAAACTATTTTCTGACTCATCATAAAAAAGCAATAGAGGAAAAAATATTTAAAATCCTCTCAAGATGTTTTAATATTAARCATTAAAAATTACACAGACTTGATACAATTCACTCATAAATAAACAGGAACTTTACAAGCAGCTGTTAGAATATTACASAGTTTGTAATAACGCTATTAACCCCCTCAAAAATATTTATGATCTTTCCCTCTAACCCAGGGGTATGCTAAAATGGAAAAAAATAACTCTGGTAACAAGAAGAAATTTGCACAAAATGGTCTTGCAACACTTCCCAAGCTGTGAATAATAGAAATGCACTGGAATCCTGCTTGTTCACAGACACCATTTCAGCAGCAAACATCAGGTTTAAATATCAGATCTCATCATAGGAGAGATACTCTGCAGCTCTTGTTGGTTATATGGCAGTGGGCATTTCCCACCTTGTTCTCAGAGAACTTGAAAGAAGTGAAGGAAACAACATACCACACTTCATTAATGAACTCAGTAGGAAGTTTATGAGCATTAACCAATACTAATATTCACATTACAGGGAGCAAAGAAGAGTAGGTGCTCCAAGCTGGGCAAGACTTAATGCTGAACACGATGCTGACAGATGAGCAGAAGGTAATCAATCCATTTCATTGAAAGAATCAGACCAAATTTGGGATTCTGGGGGTAGTCTGTGCAGGTCTTTGCAATGATCCAAGGATCTTGTAAGGATCCAAGTATCTCCCACGTGAACTGTGCCTTTTGGTGCTGATTTCTTAGCTCCAATACTGGATTAACCACTAGGGACTGCAAAAAAAATTGCCTCATTCTGCTGGAGTCTAGTCAGGCAGGACTACCGGAGTCACATCCAAGTGGCATGGCAGGGACAGGCACCTCAACAGGGCTGTGCCGTGGCCTCTGTCTCAGTGACCAACAGTGATCATCCTGTCATGTCTTCCTTATATCCCACCCCAGTTCTTTGCTTCACTTTCCTGACCTGGTATCTTTGCGTTCGCTTCATCTCAAGCTATTCTTGGAATTTATAGAARTTTTAATTTTCTTCCTTCAGCTTTGTTTCTTTTATTTTCTGATTTTCTCAGTATTTCCACCCAAAGTTACACGCTTCCTCCCGTCCTTTCAACTTGCACACTTGGAGCCAACAGCCACTCTGTGAACTCTGTTCTTATCCCTGTGCAACCAAGAAGAGGCATGGAGTAGAAATGGAAACAGGGAATGATGCTGACTGCACTGCAGCTGCTGTGCTGCCTCTGAGCAAGGAGTCTAGAGCCACCTACCTGSTCCATACCAACCACAATGACTTCAGCAACCCAAGTGTCTCAAGGCTGTGCCTCCTCCTGCCTGCCATTCGCACAGTGGAAGGCATATGGGAAAGAACTCACCCTCCAAAATAACATCAGTGGATCTGTCCTGAACCCTCTAAAATGCCAAACGACTGCAGTGCTTACAACAGTTCAGTGCAGAAAATACATGGCTCCCTGGGATAACTCACCACGGTGCCCAGCCTTTCTTTTCATGAATTCCAGTGAATCCTGGTGAGCYCAGCACTGCAGCCAACCCAAAGCACCGTTCCAGCTGGTGCTCTCCTGTGGTGACACTGCACTGAGTCCTGCCAGAAAAGCTCCTGTGTAAGGTCCCAGTTCCTCTGCCATGCTGGTGTGGAAGAAGTGGATTGCTGCCTTGGCTGGTGGCCTCCAAGTGCCCCTCAAAAACCCCAGATGATGAGATGAAGGGGAGATGAACGGGCCTTGAGAACTCCTGCATACACCTTCCTTGATGTGATTGGAGGGTCATAGACTTCAGAGAAAAACAGACCAGTTCCTCCTGTATACTCTTGAGTCAAAGCAGTCTTAGAAATTCTTTTAAGTGGCTGATRTCTTTCAAATACTCACATATTCAAAGAGTCACAGCAATGTTTTTTGTCTTGAAAAAGCTTAATTTCCTGAATCACATATCAAAATCCCACCCTATGAATCCCTTCTGTGCGACGGAACTCTCCTAGTTAAAATTCTACACAAGCATTTCCTCCCTGCTCCCTCAGGTACCATTCTCTCTATGTACACTACAATAACAATGGCGCCTTTACTAAAATTGAACACAATAACAAGGCCTTTGTAGAGGATAATTAACAGCCAGCAGTGAATCTTTGTGCTGATTCAATGGGATATGAATGAGTTATGAAAATTCTTCTTTGCTGGAGAGGTAATGGGATATTGTTACGTTTACATATGCTTTGCCTCTTGCATGATAGCATATTTATGGTGTTCATAGTTTGAAGTCAGAAATATGTACACAGATATTTTGCATTTGTATTCAGGCAGTTATGCCTCAACATGTTTGCCTCTCTTTCTGTCATTAACAAAATCCCCACTCCATCTGCATCTAATCCAAATTCCTCATGTCCATTCTGAGCAGGATGAGTAGACCTGAGCCTCTCCAGCTGTTCCTAGAGATACAAAGGTTCATTTCTGGAATTGAATTCCTATGGTCTTATGTAAACTATGTAGGTTAGTGCCCTTACACAGGATACTTCACAGGGTACTTGGGGGTAAATATAGTGACACWGCAGAGTTCCAAAATACATGAAGCCCCAAATTTCTGTGTGCTTTTCATTTCATGATAGAAAATGCTCCTGTTGTTCTTTCCTATTGGATAGCAAAGTATGTGGGAAAAGTAGCAACTCTCACTTGAAATAATGGATGTATATCCACAGAGTATACTCATGCATGTGTATACATTATGTAATACAGGAACACCTCTCAGCTCCAACACCAGAAAACAATTGTAGAATAACTGAAGTGAGAACATAATTTTTCTAAAGAAGAAATATTAATAATCATTGTTAAAAAGACAAAAGGAAGACCAYATGTCCAGAAAATATGTCTAGAAATAGGAAATAAAAATTTATAATAATCATTTTTTATAATAATTAGTAAAACAAAACAGCTCTCACCTGACTGCACATTGCAAGTGAACTGCATCACCAGAAAAAGAAAACAGCTCTCACCTGGCTGCATATTACAGGTGAACTGCATCACCAGGGCATGTCCAGATGCAGCTGCTTGAGTGCAATGGCCAGAYAGGGATGTGCCGAGCTTTCTCACTGCTGTTACTTGGGTTTGCATTGCTAAGCACACAAAAATGCTTGGGAACGGTGCCAGAAAAAGAGCCTTTTCCTTTGACCTTAGGCTTGGAAAACRGTTGGAAAAGCACTGACATGACGGCTGGCACATCAACAGGTGTRCCAGGCAGCTGGGCTGGTGCAGGAATCTTGGCCAGTAATGAGCCTCCCAGGGAATTTCCCATTCGGGTCAGGATTTGCCCAAACTGGAGAGATGATCACCCTTCACACCAGGACTCCTCTCAAGGCCTCACACAATTTCTGAAATTGCTGCTGAATAGGTGGGGCTCTTCTTCTCCTCTGCAACCTCAAAATCCCCTTTTAGTATAGCAAGTTACTCACACTGAAGGTGTGTTCCCAAAGCTGAGATCTTAAAAAAGGATGGGGAATAAATAAAAATATTGCGGCTGTTTGCTTCAGACAGCAGCCCTCTGAGGTGACCTCCAAAGGTGCCCCCAGAGYCTCTGACCTCCCCAGCCCTTGTATCATATTCTAAAAGAGTCTTGAATTCTTTTTTTTTAAACTAACAGGGATAGATGAGAAGTTTTACAGGATGGCTTGTTTATTTGTTTGTTTTCCTTTTGAAATGTAGGTCCTGTCTCTCCCACAAGGGGTTCTGGCTAGCTGGGCAACTAATGAAACAATAATATTGTCTGAGACAGGGAAGTCAAAGTCTGGAGAGGAAACTTTCTGTTGTTGGGGTTTTTTTGTTTTTAATCTGACTGCTTAGYATTCTTTCTTCCTGGCTGACGGAGTTTGGTCATCAACTGACATTTTAAAGAAAAGAAAAGCTTTTTGTAAAATATCCAAGAGCTCCATTCCTCCTAGCAAAGCCTCCACACTAACACACAGCAGCCAGCCCATAGAACGATGCTTCAGGCAAAACCAGCACTTAGTACCATGCGCTTTTTAGGGGTTAAATAAAGCAAAAAAGGGGATTTGTCTTTTAAGTGTATGTCCACTGCCTTTTTACCATCATACAAAAGAAAACAATAAAAAGAAAATAAGAATTTCTCTGTGAGTCACCTGTGGACAGGAGACATGAAGAGTAGGGGGATATTTAGTTCATTTGGAGGGATTTCTTCCATGCATTGCAACACATGTGCTCTATAGTCCTGCACCGTGGTATATATGAATGTGAACAGTTTGAACTGCTGGCCAGAAGGGCACTCGACAAGTGCGGCACTTGAAGTTATTCATTGCACAGACGAGTTTAAAACGAGTCTGATTCTGCACAGGTGCAAAARAGCCACTCTTTGTACAGGAGGGGGTTTTGACATTAAATTAGGTTCAATAGCTGATGATGGAGTTGCACATAATGAATTTGTAACTATGGGGAAGCAAAGCATCGCTCCTGACCCAGATAAAATGCGAAGAGCTTTGCTGCTGCCGGCGCAGGAGGAGCCCTGTCCGCCCAGCCCCGCAGCTCCAGCACCTTCCCCGGCTYCGGCAGCCTCGTCACAGCGACAAACACAAACACGGATTACTACACTGAACACGTCAGGCTAAGTCAATAGTTTAATAACCACTATTAAGGCTTTTCCAAATCCATTTAACAACTGTAAATTATTCCAAAATAAAATAGCCTCAGCCAATCAGCTGTATAGTCACTGACCCACAACTATGTGCTTATTTCTCAATTAAGCAAATGTCCACATGCTGGTTGGCTTCAGCTGCTTTTGTGGTTTTGTATGTTGCAAGTTTCAGTGCATAAATCCCGGTCCCGTGCCTGGGAGCCTCAGCTGTTTCCGACACAGGTACCGCAGCTTCTGGAGCCGAGGCTGCTGCTGGGATAAAGCTCCCAGTGCAGCCGTCCCCTGCCATTCCCTCTCGCATCCCAGCTAAAGCCATGCTGCCCGTCCCTGCCAGGGTGCGGGACCCCCCGAAGCCCCCGTGCTTACCTGCGCGAGGAGAAGTGTCCCCCACAGGCTGGAGCCAGCCCAAGATGGCTGGGACGAGCCGGGGCAGCTCCCCTGAGCCCCGGGAGCAGCATCCCGGCCCCAGTCGGGCTCCAGCGCTCCCCGGTGCTGGCGGGCACCACGGGCCAAGCTGGCAGCGGCAGCGCCGGGCTGGGCTGGGGCRGCGGCAGCGCCGTAATGAGCCCGTGGAACCGCTCAGGCGTTCAAAGCCTGAGGGCTGGAGGAGCCAATCAGCCCGTCGGGGGGAKCGGGGACAGCCCGGCAGGCACAGCAGGAATAATTGGAGGGAGYTCCTAATTAATTTGATAATAACCCTATCCTGTATTAACACACTCCACACGCAAAAATGGCTAAAAAGTGCCAATTAGCAGTGGAAGTGAAAGAAAGCACGTGGTGGGGATTCGGGGAACCTCGCAGCC